GTTATAACCATTACTCCGATTGCGCAAGGTCGGACGCACGTCTGGTTATGTTGATGAGCCTTCTTGTTTTTGGTCTTCATGCGAGAGAGAAAGAATGAGTTAAAAGTACATAGAAGTGAATACGATTAGAACCAAGACAAGAAAAGACTACTTGCGTCGCTTCCTTTTTGCAGGGGGCTCAAATCCCTCTCTATCCTTGATTTTATTAATTAAGCGCAAGTAATTTTTACTTATCTTCTTAACAGTATTCCTTACATTCAATGTATTTCCTATCTGGTTTAGTTCGATAGCTTCTTTAATTTTACTCTTAGCCGCAGACATACCATAATCAGCAAAGTGAGAAGTTTGAGACCATTCAAATTCGTGTCTCGTTTCTGCCCTGTGCTTAGCCAGCTCCGTTTTTTGAACCCAACAGCCTTTTATGCCCAGCCAACTCCAAATTTTGAATCCAACAGCCTTTGCAGAAGCTTTTGTGCTCAGCCACCCTTTATCGAATGGGATAACAAGTCTCTCCAACATATATGTGACTACATGAACACATTATGTTGTAGCAACCCGATCTGGATAATGGGTCAATTTTCTCTCAAAATGTTGGCATGACTGAAGGAAGTGCCATAGCTACTGTGAGAACAGTTTTTATTCCCCACTTCCTTACTTATTCACTCATCCTTTCAGAGAGAATGCACGAAGGCAAAAACAAAACATGAGAAAAGGTCTCTTTATCTTTCCTTACGTATTCACCATTCAAAAAGCTATTCTTTATTAATTTAATGTTATTTTTAATCAAGCCTAGGGGATAATTATTCTAAAAAATATTATTTTAAGCCGATCCAGATCATTTTCACAATGGTCTCTATCGGCCAGTTTATTGCTCCGAATGATCATAGATTTTAAAACTCCAACCTTTGTTTTTATAACTATGATTGGAGAAACAGTTGAGGATAACGCATGCGTTGGCTTTCTATAAACATCCCTGCTTAACGACCCACCTGCTCTGATCACTAAGACATCTAAAAAGGTTAAATTATTGTTAATCTCCATCTATATCTTCATTGTCAACTTAATATTGCAGTCAATCTCATTAATTAAAAACAAGAAATTATTTAAACTATCCTTGCCATGCTACCATATGTTAAAATAATCATACACATATCCAACTAACAATTTGAGTGTTTCGATGATTCCTTGAGCTGATGTTAATGCCTAAATTCTTTAATTTCTTATCATGTCGGGATCTATGGATATTATCCATCCTGTATGTCAGACCGTCTGCCATATTCTGCAATTTGAGAAAGTCTTCTTGAGAAAGCAGCAGAGAAAGGGATTATTATCAGATGATACTTTGCTCTGATGATGTTCGTCATATGACGGACGAACGCTTAGCACCATTTCACAGAAATCGAAGGAGATTACCTCGAAAATAGCGTTAATATGAATGTCTCAGTATGGCCAATCGACAGCTGGTCAAGAGGAATCCGCTAGCGGCTTCCAGGGTAATCGACCTTCGAATGTCTCCATAAAACATTTTCACTCGAAATGGAAGTAAGCTCAACAATTATGAAAAAAGAGATTTCACGAAACCCAACTTTTTTTCGCATATTCTCCGAGTTTTTTAGGCAATATACAAAGTTTTCGCTGACTATGCCTTTTTTAAGTCTCCTGTTCATTAGATTTATCTCAGATCTTGAGCTTTCTCGTATTTTTACTATATGCAGCCGGCTTTTCTATCGATTCCCAATCGAATTTGTGTCCCGTTCGTGCAATATGTTCCGATATTTCGCATGGCCTCCCGAGCAATCAAGTTTGTCAGTCTTCTCGTGTTGTATCGACAGATTGGTGAAAAGTGTTTTCTTTTTCTTTTTTATCCCCTTGATGTTCCATTTCCATAGTAACGGTCGTAATTTTTAGCTCAGTTCAGATGAGGGCAGGCAAATCCACTTCTGGTCGTCCTCCTGATCCCTGATCAAATTTTCATAAAATCCGAGTTGAAATCTGTTCTTCATAGCCTCTACACTTTGTTATATAAATTCTCTGTGGTACCCGTTACTCACGAAAATACGTGTCAGTTTGTCCAACTCCTCGTCCCAGAACTCAGTGTCCATTAGTCGTAAGCTTATGATGATCAAACTCCTCAGTATTCCGATCTTCAGTCTATAGTTATGGTGATACTGAAAATTAAGTATTATTCCCGCATATGATTTTTTTCTGAATAGTCTCCTCATGAGTGTCCCGTTGGAACGCGTGACTTCAATATCCAAAAAAGAACGTCGTTCATCCTCCTTTACCTCCATTGCGAATTTAATTTGTTCATCAATTTGGTTAATAAAATTGTGGAATCCATTCAAATTTTCCTTACCATGTGACCAAAGAGCAAAGTAGTCATCCGAGTATCGCATAAGCACTCTTGGTTGCAGTGGTCACTTTTCGAATTCCCTTTCCAACTTGTCCATGTACACATTTTCCAAAAAAGGTGAGAGTGGAGATCCCATTAGTAGTCCAAATATTTGGTCGTAGATACTGCCGTCAAATATTTAATATGTGGCCCTTACAGTCAGGTCAATCAGTCATGTTAACGATTGCTTCCGTATCCGTTCTGCCTCCAGGATATCCTCTTCTCGCTCAAATATCCCCAGCAAGGGGCCTACCACCTGCTCACCTCGTGTATCTTCGGTAGTCCGTAGGCTGTCGGTCGTCTTGCGTCACTTTTGATTAAAGATTTCGTCATCCATTTATCAATTTCCCCATTATTATGTATTTCCGTAGTATTTGATAAGTGTTCTGGTCGTCTAGAATACTTTACATTCTTTCCGTGATCTGTTTCTTGTTCATTTCAACCGTCCCTCCTTCCTTATCCGCCTGAAGAACTATTTGATCATTCTTTTCTTATTATTTTCCGTATACTCCTGTGTATCGGTTCTCGATGTGCTAGGATTCATGGGATTATTTCAATGTCCCTCTTCTGTTTTGTCACTTCTGGGTATTTATCCGATATGTTGATAACTTAAACCAGAATATCACTAAGAGCGTTTCCTTCGTTACCTGGGGAAAAATTTAACCCTTCTTTAATAATTCCATGGTTTTAGAATCAAGAGGAATTGAGTATAGATTTACCAACTTACCCCTATCGTCGTTTGTAGCAGTTGATGTCTTCAATACAGAACCATCAAAATTTGCCCTGTTTGGCTTGGTCTTGCGTTGTCTTATTATCCCATAGCTAAGCAATTACTTGTTATGCCGCTTAGTTATCAGATTTCGGACCCTCTGTGATTTCTGGTCCGTCATGATCTTTAGTTTTTGAAAGTCATCCAAAGTGAGAACCATACCTAAATCCTTCCTTGATCTAGACTTGAGATCTATGAACTTAAATAGCTTACGCCTCTCAGTCTCGCAACTTTCCTCTAATTTTTGGATAGAGGCGTGATAAAATATTTCATTAACTGTGCCCGAATGACAGTTCCTCATTAGATTGCAGAATCGGGGAGCAATATCATAATGTTTGCAAGAATTCAAAAAGGTCAAATGGCAGTAGTGATTGACAATTGTCTTCTTTCTCATACTGTAATCGATGCATTGTTTTAGCAATCTTACTTCCATAGTTTAATCAAAGGTACGAAGATCAAGATGGCGCGGTCTTTTCTGTGGTCGCAGTCTCCTTTCGTTGTATAGAAGTTGTTTGACCTTGTTTTCTTAACTTGGTTATATTGGTAGGAAGACCTAGAGGAACGCATCTAGTCCGGAGTCTATAGTATGCATGATGATTTCCAGAGTCGGACCGTGGGCGTGATACATTCCCACACGTTTCGCCAGCATTGTAGTCGGCATCGTCATTGAGCATTGACGGTCTCAGCACCACACTACATCTCGTCAAGGAGGCAAGTGGAGCCGATCCTTTGATTAATTGTCTGCTAAACAAGGCGACCAGGCAAAAGGCCACACCATCTTTATCTTCATACCTTCGAAAGGTTACTTAATTTTATAAAATAACCGATTTACTATAGTGCACTCTGTTTTATTTATTAACGTTTCTGGAATAATGTATGAATAATTCATGTAATGACGATTTCGCTTGTTTGTTCTATAAAGATTGGCGCATTAAGAGCACTTTATGTTAAATATTCACCTAAATGAATTGTAATATCCAACTGACAAATAATCGGTGATGATATTTTGTTTCGAATTCACATTATCTCATACTTCATATAATTAAATTATAAGAACGAAGGATTTGAGTAACGCTGGAGAAACACTCTGAGAAAGAATATTAATTTGTATTGTAGTACCTTTCATTACATTTGAAGAGGGATCCGTAAATTAGTCTCAAAGAAAACTTTCGATGAGACAAACTTACGAAGCTCTTTCACTCGCCTCTTCAAACGAAATGAAAGTTACTCCAACATCAATCTATTAAGGGATTCTTCGAAACCCTCTTTTTATACATTCTAATATTAATTTCTGATTGGCAAATGAGGTACTTTTATAAAAGATAGGCCTATGTAGATAAAACTAGTAATACAGAATCGGCAAAAGGCATTACGGTATTAAAAGAAATGCCTCAAGGAGATATTAAAAATCGTCAGTGCATTATTCCGACTTCCAATTTATATTTTGAAACGAAATTACAGGATTCTTGGAAGTATGAGAAGTGTTTTATTTAACTCTTCTTCGAAACCTAGTTATGTACGCTTTCGTTGGTAATGGTAACGCTAGGTCAATTATTGTCAGTATACATAGGAGCAGATCTCTTTCTAAAAAAAAACTGAGATTTAGGTAACAGGACTTCTATAATCATCTCATCAATAGGCCGGTGCGATCGGCAAGTTGCTGATGACAGTCTTCTGCAATGCCATTGCTTGAAAATTATAGTAGATGTCCACTTGGTTCTACGAAATCGTCAGCGCACAAGCTTTTCCTTATATTTAGATTTGAACTCACGAGACATTCTAGGACCATGCTTAAGGATGATGAGGCACTCCTCACATAAATGGATTAATAGGCAAAATTTAAAGGCCATCAAAATTATCAAGGTTACCGTTATTGTCTAATGTGTACGTGAGATTGAAGTCAAATGATTCCTCTACAGTCTTCCATGCGTCTATCCTGACCAACGCAGTGGCAGCAGCCGTTGAATTTATCGTGTAACTGGCGTCTCTGCCAGCAGTGATCCCACTAATAGGACAATCCGTCAATAAAATGGGGGAATCCCACTCTCCTCCAGAACGAACCTAGGGGAGATTTTAGATGAAAAATTATGATCGACATGGCTTGAATATAGTGGGGATGAGAAAATACTCCTCGCTCAGTGAGAAGCGTGAAACAAGTTTTTAGATTATGTCCAAAGAATGATAAAGTGTCGAAAAGATCTAGAATAATAAAAAATTAAGTTGCAGCTATGTTGATGAGTAAGCTTAAGAAGGGCTGGGAGAGAATTTTTGTCAAATACCCCGCATATTTTTCTTTAAATAATGATAAATATTCATATGAATTGTCTACCTCTAAAGGAAGAAATATTCACTATTTTTGCATTACGAATATGCGAGATATTTCAATTTGAGAGAATATAGAAATGCCTAAAGATCCTTGACTATCTTACCTCCTAGGCCAGTAGTTTTGAGCCTTTGAGAGGATCCAGAATCAGTGCTGGTGACCTTGAAATCTGTACTTGTTATGTAACTTTGTGGAGCTAAAGCTAAGTTGTTGAAGGGAAGTGTATTTGTATCTGATCCCACATAACCAGCTCGGATCCTCTGGACGAGTTGATACTTTAGTGAGACAAGTTCGAAACCACAGCCGAGCCTAAACAGGTACAGCCTTTTTAAGATTTACTTATAGTCGTAGAACTTAATATGTATTGATAGTAATGGAAAATACCACAATCTTCCTATAAGTGTGAATTGAGAGAGGCTTGGTATTTATTGAAAGTTGCATCTGCCTTGTGTTTCACTGGTCTACGTGGCCGTATGGTGTAGTGGTGATTGGTTTCCGTTTCCCGCGCAAGACGTGGCTTCGAATCAGGTCGAGTGTGCTGATGGAACCTAAACGAGGCCAAAATTACAGGCCAACCTAAGTGGGAAAGCCTTTGTGCAGTCAAGTCAATTGGACATTAAATCGCATTCACTGCATTGTAAAAAAATTCAACTGTTTTTTCTGCTACATTTTAAACGACCTAAAATAATAATAAATCTTATTTTGAGATTTTTACTGAGTCCAAAAATATCTTCTTTTACACTTTTACACACCGACGGTACTTAGGCTCTGGATAGCTGTAAAACAAAAGTTAACCAACAAAGGCGAAATAGTTATCCCATCGCAGCTAAAGGAGTATATAGAAGCGGATTTTGCTTCTCAAGTGCTCTCGATTTTCTCGCCCATTGTGAATAAGAGGCTCCTCTCGGCTTAGATACTGAATGGCAATGATGAAAAGTTATGATCGCGCGCCACTCTTGACGACAACCAGACTATGGGTCAAGGGACTTTCTAAGATTGGTGAGTACAAGGGCATGTTACAGATTGAAATATGTAAATATGAAAATATGAAAATTCGCCTTTTTTTCGTACATTTGGGCTATAAATTCTTTGAAACTCTTCAGTCATTATCCTACAGAATGAAGCAAACTGTATAAGAGCTGTATTCATCCTATTTCGCCTAAGATGGTGAAGTACTGGCAGTTGCATCTTTTCACAATAATATGAGTGAATCTTACGTTTCCAGGGAATGTCACTTAGAGATAATTTTTAAAAGGAATTCTCGAAATCTACTTACACACGAAAATATAGTTAACTTTCCCAGTAGCATTCTTTCAATGGCCTGCGCAGGGTTTGGTAAGTCTAGCCCATGGGATGCTGGCCACGAAAGAGCATTTCAAATAGTTTCCATAAAGAGCTCAGAGTAAAATTTGTTCAAGAGTCCGTTACTTACTTCTTAACACATTTCTGATGTGAAACACTGCTTTCAGCCTACCTCAAGACCATTAGGTCGCCAGTTGTACTTCAACTCGCCTATCCTCTGGGCCCTCTTCGATAGTTCTGAGCAGTCATTCTGGCGTCCGTCGACACGAGGTGTCTCGAATCGTAAACGGTTCCCAGTTGAGGCGACCAGCAACCAGACGCAGTGAAGTCCAGAAATGCGGGCTCCATTCTCCACAGTGGCAGTCTCGTGGATGTTTGGGACCGTCCCGTGAGTTGAAACCGTTACTGGGCCGCTTGAGGACTGAGGGGAAGGGTAGCCGCCCGGAGTCAATTGAGGGAAGGATAGAGATCCAGCCCCACTTACTGGAGCGATCAAGCCTCCACAAGCTGAGGACAAGGAGGAAATAAGGCAGAGAAAGAGGTGAATTCTTTAACTAACACATGAGTCCTACTGGAGTCTCTACAACCTAGGTTTAAGTAGGTGAGAGGTTGTTTGACCTTGTTTTCGCAACTTGGTCATATTGGTAGCAAGACTTAGAGGAACACACCTATTCCAGAGTCCATTGTATGCATGAGCATTTCCAAACTCGGACCATGGACGTGGTACATTTCCAGACGTTTCGCCTGAATTTTCAATGAGTCTCGCCATTCTTAGCACCACACGACAACTCGTCAAAGAGACAAGTAAGCCTATCCTTTGACCAAACATGTGCTAAAAAGTTGTGGTATCTCCCCTTCTGCCCTCGGCTATTCACATTTCCTATATCCTCCTATCACGCCTTGACTGTTACATTTTTTCACCCAGCTTAGTTAGATGTAGTGTGGTGAGAGTGTGAAGGGTTTTCATGAATGCCGCTCAAAGGAGCACCCCACAATACATCTAAATAAGCATGGTAAAAAATGTAACAGTAAAGGCGTAATAGGAGAATATAGGAAATGTGAATAGCCGAGGGCAGAAGGGGAGATACCACAACTGTTTAGCATACGCTTGGTCAAAGGATCGGCTTCACGTGTCTCTTTGACGAGTTGTTGTGTGGTGCTAAGAATGGCCAGACTCACTGACGATGCCGGCGAAACGTCTGGGAATGTGCTACGTCCATGGTCCGAGTTTGGAAATGCTCATGCATACAATGGACTCCGGAATAGGTGTGTTCCTCTAAGTCTTTTTACCAATATGACCAAATTGCGAAAACAAGGTCAAACAACCTCTATACAACGAAAGGAGACTTCGACCACACAAAAGGCCACACCATCTTGGTCTTCATACCTTCCATTAAGTAGGTGAGGCCGATGGTAAACTAGAAATCTGACTAATTCTACATTAAATCCCTACCTTAAGATCAGTCACAGCTGGTTCCGCAGTATTTATTTTAAGAACAGCTTAATCACACTGATATCCCACTATTATAATGTCAAAAACTAGAGAATATCGCTTCTCACTAAAGCACAACTCTGCTTTACAAGGGATTAGAAATTTGATGGTGTCTTACTCAATCGGTCCAAGATACCGCAGGTTCCAGGCGTAAATCACCTAAAAATGATCACTTTCACAGCTCGAGTCAGCGGTGTAGATAATTCTGCGCGACAAATTTGCGTTTCGAGGGAACTTGAGACTTCTGGAAAAGTGAAGAAATAATCCTATTGTCTTATTGAACCAATCTATCTAATCACATAGCCTAAAATTTTAGTTAAAAATCTTAACGTGTATGGGACCCTATAAGACCGTTTCCCCATGGTCAACAAAGCCAACAGAGTAAGAGAGCCAACTTCGTGTTTCGCATTTGTCGAACTATCTAGCCTCTGGGTGAAAATATCTTTGATGGTCACACTATGGAGAAACTGAAGATGATCAATTCGGTATTGTGCTTTCAGTATGGGCCATTGAATGGAGGATTTGCAAGTCCTAGAGAAAAAACCCTCACCCCCTTATTTCACCTTTTGTGGCAAATAAGTCAGAACAGAATGAGGCGCAAATGCCGTTTTTGCAATATTTGTTCTGTTAAAATGGCCCAAACGTCATTTGACGCAACTATATGAAACGAGGCAAACTTGTGTCACCGATATCAGTCCTGATAGCTGGATTGGCCACAATAAAATGAACAAAAGTGTTGAATATGCAATCTACTTTCATTTAGCCATACCATCTGAGACCAGTTTAAGATGCGAGACTTTTGAGAGGCTAGGAAAGGGACAATCATTGATATGGGAATGCCTTTCACTTATTTACTTGTGGGATACCCAACTGCCAGGCCTAGCATTGTCTTAATTAAGCTAAGTTGTCTAGAGTTCTTTAAAAAGAGCTAATGAAACTTTGAGAAATACCGACTCAAAATATGAGCTTGATATAGCCTTTGCTTTCTTATTCTTGCTAGATGCAAAGAGAGGCAGAAATGATGGATTTTTCTGTTGAAGAGCCTCTTATCCTATCAGTAATCTTGATACCAGTCTTAG